AAGAACCCACCTGTACTTCAATCCTCTCCTCCATTCCTCTGTCCATCTCCGGCTCTTGACCAGGCGTCTTGATGGTCACAGAGCGGTCATCTCTGTCCATGTCGTGGCCCCGCGCCATCCCACGACTGCTGCCCTGCCGAGACGGGACCTACGGGTGGGGACAAACAGACAGACACGCAGATTGCTTCACTGAACATAAAGATATCTTACATTCTGAGAGTGGGGACAAACAGACAGACACGCCGATCGCTTCACTGAACATAAAGATGTCTTACATTCTCTTCAGCATAATACGGGTGGTTTAGGAGAGACAAATACATTGCTATACATTGTCCTTTCAAAGGGAGGTTTTTGTTGTTACTATTGTCATTATCTGTCATAATGATATTGATCAAATTGTTATTACTATTGTCATTATCAGTCATAATGATATTGATCAAATTGTTGTTACTATTGTCATTATCAGTCATAATGATATTGATCAAATTGTTGTTACTATTGTCATTATCAGTCATAATGATATTGATCAAATTGTTATTACTATTGTCGTTATTATCATCGCAGCAAATCTAAAAAAAGCCCTGACCTGCTGGCGGCCGTGCTGCCTGTGGTGACCTCCGCCCCCGTGGTGGTTGCTCCCATGACTGCGGTGCGACCTCTCTGACCTCTCGCTGCGACCTGACCGCACACTCTCCCCACCGTCCATCTTGCCCGGCTGCTCTCAGCGCTCCGCGGGTGGGGGGGAGGAGGGGGAGGAAGGAGAGGAGAGTGCAACACCACCAAGTGAGAGGGTGGATGAGGGTGAAAGTCGGAGTTGGAAGGATGTGGGGTGTGGGGGCGGGAAAGGACGAAGGGTGCAAGGAGGAGGGAGGGAGGGAGGAGGAGGAGGAGATGAAAACCCTCCGACCCACACTACCGTCAGAACGAGAGCGGGGAGGAAAAAGCCGCACGGTGCGCAGTCACACCACGGTCACCACCGCGCTTCGGCCGGTCGGCCATGTTGACATGGTGAGGGGAGGTGAGGAGGGGTCAGGCGTCAGGGGTCAAAGGGTCAATCACGAGAAGAGGCTCAAGGTCGAGTGTGAGGAGGTCACGGCAGGTCTCGGCCCAGTTTACATCAACGCTGCTGGTTGTCTGTCCCACTGCGGGGTTCAGGAAAGTTCCTCTGTTACACCTGCAACAGAAATGTCAGGGCACTGAGTTAGTTTTAGGAGGAGTTTTACTGCACTTGCAACACGATAAGGTCATTTCAATAAGTGCCGAAGATTGAGGGGTTTTTTTTGGTTTTAGTAGAGGTTTTACAGCGCTCGCAACTGCATATAAGGTCATATAAGTGCCGTAGATTAGAAGTATTGCAAGAGAGTAACAAACACAAAAAAAGGCGGGGAGATAGAGACAATAGATTTTTTTATAGGAAAGAAGGAGCAAACTATTGAGGCTGCCATTTCACATGGAGGAAAAATATATGTTTCAACTCAATGTTCTTTGATGAGAGGATTTATTACAACTGACTTGCTCAGGACACATATCATATATGCCACACAAGAGTGGTGAGTGGAAGTTCACCAAAACAATAATAAAGAAGAATTAAGTTTTCAACAAGGAAGAGGGTACTAATATCATCAAGAGAAATAACTAAGAATAATCATACAAAAAGATAATACATACTATTAATAATAAATTCAGTTAATTCCCCTTGACCATAATAATGTGATTTTTATTCTAACACCCCCACTAAAAATCAGCATTGAAAGCTGTGAATCAAGTATAATAAAATACCATTGCTACAAAATATGAAATGAAATTCATGTTGCATGTAAGCAATAAAGTTACTCTTAAGTTATTGGCATCAAGATAAAGTTTGTGGAGAAAAGAGTAAATGAAGTGAGAATGAAAAATGTAAAATGTAAAGAAAATTGGTAATAAGTCCCTTTTAGGATTTGAGACAGAAAGGTAAAGATGCATTTTAATAAAGTGGTAGTATTAGTAATGTGTTCATGTGTAGACATAAATGTTGTAAGAAAAGGATCTAATGATTGCTTTACTTTTAACAAATCATTGTTATAACTTGAAGAAAATATTGAAATCATGAAGAAATCATAGTTGCTTGTTACTAAAAGAAATTAAGTGTTCATAAATTTCAAGGTACATGTAGTAATAGTAACAATGACAATGCATAGAAACACAAAATAATGCTTACAATGATTATTGCATTATATAAGCATAGCAATAAAAGGCTTCTGATCTTTAATTTTGGTAATTTCACTGTTCATTCTCCCATAATGTTGGGTTTGAACATTTCTAGTTTCGTTCTTGTAACAGGTTTGGTGAATAAATCTGCCCAATTTTGGTCTGATGGCACATATTGGATATCAACTGTTCCATTCTGGATTTCATTCCTGATAAAGTGAAATTTTATGTCTATGTGTTTTGATCTCTGGTGTTGCACTGGATTTTTACCAAGTGCAATTGCTCCCTGATTATCACCCATTAGAGTGAAAGTCTCAAATTTTATACCCATCATGTCTTTGATAAGTGCTTTGAGAAAAAGACCTTCTTGTGTGGCAGCACACATTGACATATATTCTGCCTCGCAAGTAGACAGTGCTACTGTGGGTTGTTTTCTGGATTTCCAGGAAATCAGAGTTTTGTCAGACAACATAAACCCATACCCAGTAATGCTCTTTCTGTCACTGGAGTTGCCCCAATCAGCGTCACAAAAACCAGTCAGTTTGAGAGGTTGATCAGATTTGCTGTAAGACAATTTCTGGTCATTTGTTGCTTTGAAATATCTCCAAACATGTTTGGCAGCAATCAT